CTTGTTGATATGCCAAGCACAAATGAGGAAAACAAGGCTCTTTATTCCAAAGTCAAAACACATTGTATTAATCATAAATATTTATACAGTCAGAGAATCCTGAGTCTCATTGTATTAATCATAAGTATTTATACAGTCAGAGTCTGAAACTGAAAGCTATTCCTATGCAGGGGAGCAACCACCAACGTGAACTAAGGAACAGAAAGCAACAGTCACATAGTGGAGAAGCAACAGAAACATAGGTGAGAGAGAGGAAAGCTGTTATGCTGATCCGAGACTAAACTTGGAGCAGAATTGTTGAAATTATTGGCGGGTGAGGGGCTTCATAAGAACATTCGCAATTTGATCTATTGCAGGGAGATAACGAATATGAAGTTGATGCTTGTTGACCCGCGAGATGTTTGGATCGTGTGTGGGAGACCGGATTGTGAGCGAGATATGTAGCCCCCAAGTTATCACACCATAGAATAGGAGAAGATGATGGTGGTTGACCGAGTTCGGCTAGTAGTGCTTGTAACCAAATGACCTCCGACGCAAGAGTAGCCAGTGCTCGATATTCACATTCTGTTGAAAAACAGCGAACCCAGAGATTTACTTTCGATCGTTGGGACAAGAAGAAAACGAAGCATCGGAGTAGCCATGTAGTTGTGAATGAGAAGACCTTTGAAAGAGCAATCCTTGAATGATTGTGCCTTGAAGATAGCGCATAATCCGTTTCACTGCTTCCCAATGAGCATCCGTTGGAGAATGGTGGAATTGCGAGACATGATTCACCGCAAAGGAGATGTCAGGCCTAGTGAAGCTCATGTACTGTAGTCCACCCATGATACTTATGTATAAACTTGGATTATCAAAGGCTGGAGATAAATCTGACCCACTTTGGATCAACTGATCAGGCGTGTAGGGGGTAGAGAAGGACTTAGCTTGAGCCATTCCTGAGCGTTCAAGAATTTCCCGAATATATTTTAGCTGACTGAGAATCAAACCTGTAGGCGTATAGTGAACCTCGAGGCCGAGAAAATACGATAGTCGACCAAGATCACAGAGAGCAAATGTGGAGCGAAGATGAACCAGAAGCTGCTAGATTATTGTCAAATTGTTTCCTGTAATGACAAGATCATCAACATATACCAACATGTATAGAAGAACAGAATCAGTCCTGTAAATGAAGAGTGATGGATTTGTTTGTGATGCGACGAAGCCGAACTCACAAAGAGACTGAGAGAGACAGTGAAACCAAGCTCGGGGAGCTTGCCGCAACCCATAGATCGATTTCTGAAGGCGACAGACATAATCAGGATGTTCACGGTCGACGAATTCAATCGGCCGTGCATATATACCTCTTCCTTAAGAGTGCAATGTAAGAAGGCATTCGAGATGTCAAGTTGGTGCTGCGGCCAGGCATTAGATACTGCAATGCCTAGGAGAAGACGTAGTGTGGCAGGCTTCAGAACCGGACTAAAGGACTCCCCAAAATCGTGGCCTGGAATCTTCTCAAAACCACAAGCGACAAGCCTGGCTTTTTCCCATTCAAGAGAACAATACGGATTCGTCTTCTCTGCAAAAACCCATCGATTAGAGAGAATATTACAATCAGATGGGGCGGGAACTAAGTCCCAGGTTTGATTCCGAACCAGGGCGTCAAATTCATTGACCATGGCAGCCCTCCACGGGGCAATTTGAGAGCTTGGGCCGCCGTGGAAGGTAGACCAGTGGGAGCCGCAGCGAGATAATGGCGACGCTTCAGCTTGCCGGTCTGGGTGCAAGTGACCATCCCCCTAGAGGGTGGCAGTGTTGGTGATGCAACAATGCGGGGAGAAGTGTTAAAGGGAGGACGCTGGGTGATGGAAGAAGGGAGAGGCGTGGGGGGTTTTGTGGGTGGAGATGAGGTGGAGTGGGGTATAGGAGGAGGAGAAGAAGAGGGAACATGGACAGATGAAGAGATGGGAACAGAGGGACCAGGTTGGTGGTGATATTGGATGAGAGGGGGCGGAGCGGGATGGACGACACGAGGTCGTCGTTGATACTGCAGTAAAGGCCGAGTTTGGGGTTGAGTGGGCTGGTGCGATGAAATGGGTTGAGGAGATGGGGGGTTAGTGGGCTGGAAAGAAGATGGGGTGGTGGGCTGGGGAGAAGATGGGTTGGTGGGCTGGTGAGAGGGGTTAATGGGATAGAAAGGTGGGGTTAGGGGGCCTGAGGTGTGGGTAGGGGAACGAGGGAGAGGTGAGGAAATGAGCAGGCCAAGGGAAAGGGATGGGCTGGGTGCGTGTGATATTAATGGGTCAGGGAGAGTGATGGGCTCGGACAAAAAAAGAGTGGGTGAAATAGATGTGGTAGGATCAGTAGGAGTGTCTTTGTACGGAAATACTGATTCATCATTAAGCACATGACGACTGATATAAATGCGGCCAGTAGATCGATTAAGACAGCGATAACCTATATGTAAACCACTATAATCCAAGAAAACACACGGTGTGGAACGGGGTTGAAGTTAATGAGAAGTGTGTGGACGAAGCCAAGGATAGCATACACAACCAAAGGCTCGAAGATTTTGAAGATCACGATATTTATGAAACAAAGTGTGGAAGGGAGATTGATTTTGGAGAAGCGGTGTAGGTGTGCGATTAATAAGATAACAAGATGTATCAAAAGCAAGAGACCAGTATTGAAGCGGTACATTAACCTGATGTAACATGGCGAGACCATTGTTGACAATGTGACGATGTTTCCGCTCCGCACAACCATTTTGTTCTAGGGTATACGGACAAGAAGAATGATGAACAATTCCATTGATCGTAAGATAAGAAGAGAGGCAGTGAAGACACGAGGAAGCATACGACTTTGGATATGTTGGGGCAGGGAGTAGAGGCCGTCACGCGCAGAACCACAATAGAGCTCATCCTTCGTGCGGCGATCCTTGATCACAAACTATGTATAAAAAAAATCAATGGAAATGGGATTTGAACGAGTCAAAGAGCTTACAGAGAGAAGATTCTGAGGAGCATTTTGGACACAGAGCATATTATCGAGAACATATGATGTATTAGAAAGGAGAGTGTGATAAGAACCAGAATGAGAGATAGGTAGTGTTTTACCATTGCCAAAGGTGACTTGATCAGGACCAGTATATTTAGAATGACGAATCAGATTTCTAGATCGGAGGTAAGATGGTGATTAGCACCGGAGTCAAGGAGCCACTATTGCGAGGATTGAGCAGGGTGAGAGGATTGGGCTAAATGGGATGCCGGGCTAGGATGGTACGTGGTTTGGGCTGGAATGAACGGGCTTGGACAATGTGGGCGAATGTGGCCCTTCCCTCCGCAATTGTGACAAACCAAATGAGATGGGCTGGATGGCCCAGTCCCTAGTACACCTGCAGAGACAGGACGAGAACCTCCGGCGTTAGACCGCCCACCCGCAAAAGAATTGTTAGAAAAACGGGTCGGGTTAAAAGACCCTCGACCTCCAAATCGACTACCTCGACCGCGTGAGAAGCGACCACTGCTCCGCCCCCCGCGAGCGGAATAAAAGGATTGGGGAGGAGATAAATCCACAGATGCCGAACGAAAACGTTGAATCTGCATCTCCTCACTGAGGAGCAAACTGCTCACGTTCTCGAATGAGATTGGTTCCAGGTGCGCCTCAAGGTTGCGAGTAAAAGGACGGTAATCCTCGTCAAGCCCGTCGAGAAGAGCATTGACCAGCTCCTGTTCAGTAACAGTAGCACCAAGGATGAGAATTTTGTCGAAGATTGCCTTGGCCCAGTGAATATATTCATGGATGGTCTCATTGCCGCGAGAGAGACGAAGCAGGGACTTGCGGAGTTGAATAATGATGACCGGGGAACCCGAAGCATAGACCGTAACGTGAACATCCCAGACAGCAAGAGCCGTAGTCTTATTGACGACTGTCGGCATCACAGCCTCAGTCAAGGAAAGGTTAATCCAGATAAGGACTAACTGATCATCCTCATACCATCGCGCATAAGCCGGATTGGGTTGATTATCGAAAGTCGTCGGAGGAGGCGAAATAGTGCCGTCAATGTGGCCGATAAGACGGTAGCACCGTAGCAGAGGATAAATAGCACGCCATAGCTGATAATTGGTAGGGGTCAATTTGACTGAGAGTTCAAGATTAGAAGGCAAGATGATACGTTTTCGGGAGGAAGATTGAATGGAAGGGGAAGAAGAATCAGAAGTAGTGGAAGAAGTCATGGGAAGAGGAAGTATAGAACAGAAAAAGAAGAAGAAGGAGAGGTATGTAACTAACTCGTTTGAGTTCTTTTAAGCTCCAGTACCATGAAAGTGCTCAGAGAATCTGAGTCTTATTGTATTAATCATAAGTATTTATACAGTCAGAGTCTGAAACTGAAAGCTATTCCTACACAGGGGAGAAACCACCAACGTGAACTAAGGAACAGAAAGCAACAGTCACATAGTGGAGAAGCAACCGAAACATAGGTGAGAGAGAGGAAAGTTGTTATGCTGATCCGAGACTAGCTCCTCCTTATCATTTTGAAGGCCGTTCCTTTCTAGTTTTACTTTTTTGATGCCAGACGGTTGGATCCGGTGCGGGGAAGTACTCAGTCGCAGCACAAACCGACACCATTTCGCCTCAGGCACAGTGAAAATTGCCTTGCTTCCTCACTGTTCCTTCTCTCTCTAGTCTCAACCGCACTTTTGCTATATTTCTAGCTCTTCCCATTCCCAAACTCAAATGAACACATTCCAATGGAGGAACTTATATTGGATCTAAATCTAACAAAAAAGATTAGTACCTTCCCATTACAGGATTAGTACTGATTTTGCTGCAATTAAACTTGAAATGAAATCACAAGCTAAAACGTTGCTAGCTGCTCTCTTAAGTTTAACCAAAGTAGAGCATTACAATGGTGATCTAAACAAAATACTGAACCATCTGGATTTCCTTCTCCCTAAACCCACACCTCTCATAGAACGCCTTGCTTTCGCTGTTGCAGTCTAGAATCACCTTGTATCAACCTCTGGACCGTGCATGATCCACGAGAAACTCCACAATCTTCTTCCCCAAATGCAACCCTCTGGCGCTTGAGTCGACGAAGACGTCCTCAATGTGGCCGACCTTGCCGCAGTTACTCAAGAACTTCTTCTCTACAAACACGCAACCGGTGGCTATGATCTTCGACTATCATTCATCTTCTATCACACAGATGAGATGGTCGTCCCCATGGGAGCTCAGCTCTTGAAACCTCTGCTCGAAATCTTCGTCGGAGATTGGATCGCAGACGCTGAGCTGTCGATTAATCCTTTTCCCTTGTCTGATAACTATAGCTTGCGAACTTGGAAACTCGGCTCAGTATCCATGGATGATTTTTAGTGCTCTCATTCTCGTGGGTTATTTGATTCGAGTACCGCACTGCAGATCGAGACAGAGGCTCAGCGTAGAAATGTTCCGGCGAGATTGGGGATTTTCGGAAGGGCTCGGATTTTTTATGGCATTCAACTAAAAAATGTTGAGAGGGCAGAGACCATACAATTACACAATACAATTGGGTTGTCCAAAAGAAAAGGAAAAACAGAAGTGCATGAACTACAAGCAGATCGAAATCTCCTTAACACCAAAATGCTCTGTCCTAAAACACCCACAAAAATCTCTTTTCTGTATTCTTCTACAGCTGTCGCTTGCGGAGCCATCAATGATCCTCACCTAAGGACCTTCTCAGCTACCACCCTTGTAACCATCAATCAATCCCAGACACTGACCTGCAAGATCAACCACGCACTCAAGGAAGATCGCAAGGAAATTAATGTGCAAATTTGCAGTAATGAAGAACCCCTACTCAAAGCCGATAAACCTACCTATGAGGCAAAGGTCAATGGCAAGCTAGCTCACTCTGAGGTCTTAACTCCGCCGCCCAAACCTCCAGACGAACAACCAGTCAGTGAAAGCAGAGGAGGAAGAACCACCAATGCTGCGACAGAAGGTAGTAAAGAGGGGAAGGCAGGTGAAAGGAAGGATATTGAAGGCAAGCAGCACCAAATCCAATCTGCAGAAGATATCCATAATAAAAGCAAGAAGAGAGCACCTGAGACTACGACATGGAGGATCCACCAAGCAATCATTCCATTTAATACCACACCCAGTCTGCCGATTGCAACTAGCGGAAGGCGTAAATGCACTGACAAGGCACACAAGGAACAATCTCCACTGCAACCACACAAAAGCTACACGCAAACAGGGAGGGAGTAAATATACCGCCAGTCAGATACCACAAATGGCAATTAAGAGGAAGACTGGCAAATACAAAGGAGGAAGGGTGTGGCAGGGAAGGCGAAACAAGAAAGAAGGCATTCAATGCGATGAGGAAGAGGATAGCTATCAAGAAGAAGGAAAGCTTGGCCTATATAAAGATGAAGATTCAAGTAACCTCCCATCAAAACCATCTCTTGCCATACACAACAGACAAAGAAGAATTCCACCATCCTAAAAACCCAAAATCCCTTTCCGCAACCACCAACATGGAGAACACCTCAATGACTGTGAGAGGAGAGAAAAGCCACCTGGTCCTGAATGTGAGGCCAACAATCGTTAGGGCTAGAGGTAGCGGCATGGCCATGCTCCTCGGCAAATGGATCACAGATACTAGCATCAATGTGCACAAAGCAAAGAATGCAGCCATCGGTAAATGGCGAGCCTATGGGGATGTCCAAGCAAAAAAAGAGGCAGAGAACTTATTCGTCTACACCTTCCAGTCACAACAGCAACGAGATGCAGTATGGGAGACCAGGCCCTGGAACCTCAGCAACACCCTCATCGCACTGAAAAAATGGGACGGGGAACAAAAGGCGGAATCTGATGACATCAACACAATCACACTATGGATACAGATGCACGACCTTCCCCAATCACTCAAGGATGAAGAAGCAATCCAAGCCCTCGCGGAATACATCTTCCCCACTTCCATTGCATTGATCAGTCCAACTTTGATTTCAGGGGATGGCTAAAGTTCATTAGAGCCAAGGTGGAGGTCCAACTGGATCAACCCATACCCATCGGCTTTGAGTACCCGCTGGCGAAAAAATCCATATGGGTCAGCTTCAAATATGAAAGGATAATGGACCTTTGCTACTTTTGCGGGAGACTGGGACACTTGATCCACAACTGTCTCGAAAGGGAGGATCACAGGAGAAGAGGCTTGAGCATCGACCCGTCGGAAGTATACACAGCAGCAATGAAAGCTGGGCATGATTCACCGGCGAACACACCACCGACGTCATTCCGGGATAAGATGGCCAGAGCAAGCTGCCCAACCCTCACTGGACATCCTGCAGGCCTGATTCGCGGATCTTAAGGCGATAGCTCTTTCATGCACCTCGTAGGTCAAACTGGACTGAGCCCCTCCTCTAGCCCACCGGGATTCACTGCCATGACACTGCCACTTACAGGGAGAAGTACGGAACGGACCCAGAGAGGAGAAGTCATAATCCCTGCCACACCTTCCAACCTACCTTTCTGGAGATGGAAATGAAAGTGACGGCTAGGGCGATGCAAAGGACGCTCGACCTAGGTGAAGGAGAGAGTAACAGAGAAAAGGCAGCAGGCCTCTTCGAGATGGGCCAAACCCTCTCGTTGGCAAGCCCATTCTATACCCTTGCTGCAACCAGTAACCCTCCACCAATGAAGGAATCACCAGCCCAGATCCTAAGCCCACAAGGACAGGCCCCCATCCCAATCTCAGAGAAGGAAGCGATGACTGGGGAAGAGGAGAACAGGCCCAGGCCGGAGAAAAAAGGAAACCAGAGCATAGAACTAGCCCAAATTGCTCCGTCCCCCAATTGGAGGCATCGACTAACATTTATTTTGATTCCTTGTCTTTTGCTCCAGGTGAAAACCGAAAGACTTACCAGAGGAGGAAACATATTACCAGAAGGAGAAGCATTGCAGAATTAACAGCGGATGGGAGTCATTCTGGGGAAGGGGAATCAATCTCTCCGAGGGCAGCGGCGGCAAGCCTTAAGCCGCCTCTTTAAGAATGAGGATCCTCAGCGGCTACAAGCCTTTGGCCAATCCCTTACAAGAAGCTACTGCGGTAGACTTTGCCTGCAATATGGCCCTTCAATACTCTTTCTCATGAAAACCAGGAAGGAAGACTCTTTCATGGAGGAAAAGAGAAGAGCAATGAAGTTCGATCACTCCAAGTATGTTAGCCCTGCAGTAGAAGGTAGTGGACTAGCCTTATGGTGGAAGGAGGACGTGGATGTTAGAATTCTTGATGCGTGTAAATCCTTTATGGATGTTAGTATTAGTAGGGATGGGGAAGAATTTTTTTGTACTTTTGTTCATGCTCCCACCACGGCGGTGGAGAGAAGAGCCCTTTGGGATTGACTTACGATTCTAAGGGATTCTCAGGATGATAGTTGGCTCATTGTGGGAGACCTGAATGTCGCCCTATTCCACTTTGAAAAAAGGGGACGTTGCCCCCTGAGGAATGAAAACGTCGCCCCTTTCAAGTATTTCATCTCACAGAATGCCCTTATTGATCTTGGTTTCTCTGGGCAAGTATTTACATGGACCAACAACCAGCAGAGGCCTGACCTGATCAAAGAAAGACTTGACAGGGGACTCTAGGCTACGTGGAGACTCAAATTTGGCTCAGCGACTGTGTTCCATGAAGACTTTGTTGAATCGCATCATTGCCCGATCATAATTGATATCCGACCGAAGCTGCAAGACATGGATACCCCCTTATAATTCGATAAAAGGTGGAGGGAGAATGGAGAATGCAACCAGATCATCGATAATCTATGTAAAGGCAGAGGCAGGGTTCATGAGATTCTAAAAAACTGTCAAGAAGAGTTACAGAGATGGTCAAGACGGGATAGAGCAAACAAAATCAAGAGAGAAAAGGAAATCAAACTGAGACTTCAAGAGTTGCAAGGCCCAATTCGAAATACTAAGGTGATTGAGGAAGAAAAAGCTCTGCTTCTGGAACTTGTACAACTTGGAAATCGAAAGAGGAATTTTGGGCGCAAAGGTTCAGAAACAGCTAGCTTCAAGAAGGAGATCAAAACACAAGCTTCTTTCATGCTAGCACAATTAAAAGAAGAAACAGGAACCGTATTGTGAAACTTAAAGATGAGACAGGGAGATGGATTAACAATGATCAGAACCTCGAGGATCATGTCAATAAGTTCTACCTCAACCTTTTCACAAGCAGAGAGGGATCCTTTGACTCATCTCTACTCAACGATTTTCCCTCACTGGTTTCCCATGATGATAATGTGGGTCTGAATGCCAGCATTGACAAAGCTGAGGTCCGAAGAGCAGTTTTTCAACTTGGCGCTAACAAAGCCCCAGGGCCTGATGGCTTCCCGGGACACTTCTTCAGAAAGTACTGGAACCTTATTGGTGACATGTTCTGCGATGATCAATACAAACATGATGCCACCCAACTGGAATGATACTTACATCACTCTCATCCCCAAAGTTGAAGCCCCCTGAAATCATAGGTCAATTCAGGCCTATCAGTTGCTGTAACTTCCGGTACAAGGTGATCACCAAGATCATGTCTAACAAACTGCAGCCATGCCTTCCCAGTCTGGTGAATGAGCTCCAATCAGCATTTACAGGGGGGAGACAGATTCAAGACATTATAGTGATTGTTCATGAAGTCCTTAATCACTTTAAAAAGCATAACAGCAGACAACATAAGAATATGATGATGAAACTTTACATGAGGAAGGCCTATGATCTGGTGGAGTGGGATTTCCTCATTGAGTTATTGAAAGCGTATGGATTCAATGAGACTTGGTGTGGATGGGTCCGGTCTTGCATTTCTTCGGTGAAGTTCGAACTCCTCTTCAATGGGAGACCTTCTGAGGAGTTCACTCCCTCAAGGGGCATCCGACAAGGAGACCCACTCTCCCCACTTCTGTTTATCATGATGTCCAATGTCCTCTCCTTCCTGATCGAAAAATCTGTTCAAAGAAGAGATATTAGAGGATTGAAGCTCAACAGATCATGCCCCACCCTCACACACTGTTTATTTGCTGATGATACAGTCATCTATGGAGAAGCATCAGCTTGTGAAGCTGGCAAAATTCTGACCATTCTCATTGACTATTGTTCGATAACAGGTCAGGAAGTTAACAGGGACAAGTCCTCGATTTTCTTCAGTCATAATGTCCCAAATGATGAACAAGGGATGATCATTCAGACGGTTGGGTTTGCGGTTTCCAACTGCCACTCAAAGTACCTAAGAGTTCCAACAGAATGGGGAAGATAAAAAAGAGACCTTCCAGTTTTGATCCAACGAATGGAAAATAAAGGGGAATCATGGAAAAGTCTCCTCCTCTCGCCAGGAGGTAAAGAAACACTCCTGAAAGCAGTTTTCCAAGCTATTCCATCCTTCATAATGTGCCTCTTCCTCCTCCCACGCTCCACCACCAACAAAATGGACTCCATGATGAAGAAATTTTTCTGGGGAGGGAACATGGCAAAAATATCTATCCACTGGCGAGCTGGCAATGTTCTATATGCTCCCAAGGAGGAAGGGGGCTTGGGGTTCAGACCCTTTCACACCTTCAATATGGCTCTTCTCTCAAAACAAGCATGGAGGATTCTCACCAACCCTGAAGCACTGTGGGTGAAGGTGTTGAAAGCATCTACTTTCCTAGAGTGGATTTCCCATCAGCTAAAAAGGGAAGCAAAGCATCCTGGATCTGGGCAAGCATTTGGGAAGCAATAAATTGGATGGAACAGGGAGTGATCATAGTCATTGGCAACGGGGAGACTACAAAGATGTTTAAGGATCCATGGCGTTTTGATCGTTCAGGCCCTCTCATCCATAACAGGATCACAGACTCATCATCGGCTGACTTCTTCATTGATGCTGTCACGAGAGAATGGAAGTTTGATCTTTTGGAGCAATTCCTTGATCCACAGGAGCTCCTTCTGACGGCTTCCACGCCTATTGGACCCGCCTCTCTGACTGATTTTTGGGCATGGAGACTTTCGGAACAAGGTTCTTTCTCGATCAGATCAGCTTTCCTCCTATTCCATAACCAATCCCGGGGTCTCCAAGGTAATGTGAACCCTTTCCCGGAAGCGGCCAAGGAAAAATGGAAATGGCTATGGAGCTTGTCTCTCCTCCAAATCTGAAGTTCTTCATCTGGAGATGTGCTAAGAATGCGCTGGCATCCAAGGAGAACCTTTTCTCCAGGCAGTGTTCCCCTTCCAAAGCATGCCCTCTTTGCAATTTCCCCTCCGAATCATTACACCACTGTCTTTTCCTCTGCCCCCATGTTGCGACAAGATGGAATCGTGAATGGCCATCCCTGTGTAGCCCTCACCCTCTCACGAACATCCTGGAATGGCTTGCCTCCTTACAAGCAAGATTCTCAATAAGCACCATTCATCGTATTATGTTCCTTATGTGGCAGACGTGGAAGACCAGAAATGATATTTTCTCAGGTATTCTACCATAGCCCCCTACTACCACTTCCAGAACCCAGATTGCTCACTATCAATGGAACTCCTGTCCTAAAAAGAAAGGTGATCCGCCCCTCCAAACTCAGCACAATCCACCCCTTGATCTCTCCCCACCACCGCCGAGTACTCATGACTTTGAGATACACTGTGATGGATCGTACTTCAACGATTCCCAGGAGGCGGCATATGGCGTCGTAGTGACGAATAGCCATGGCCAGGTTTGTGATGGGTGAGCTGAGTCCCTGCATTGTTTTTCCCCACTTGAAGCAGAAGCGAAGGCCCTTTGGGAGGGAGCAAGCCTGGCTGTGGCACTTGCAGCACCATGTCTTGTCCTGACTGACTACCTTTCCCTGATTAAAGCTCTTAATAATCTGAGGGATTCATGGCCTTGGCGGGCAGCAGGGTGGATCAACCGCATCAAGAATCTCTCACTCATCCACCCAAGTATCAGGCTTGACTTCATCAGCAGAAAAAGGAACTTCAAAGCGAATTGGGTGGCTCGATCCTGTGCAAAGAGACAATTACCTAATGAATGGATTCATGTACTGGATGTTGTTGCTCCTCTCTTGTAACCTATGGCTTCTGCCACAAGTAATGGAATTTCTGTGCCCTTTGTAAAAAAAAAAACTAAAAAATGTTACTAAATGGTCACTGAAGTGAGAAAGGGGTCAAATTGTAAGCCATCAGAACTTGGAGGATCATTTTATAAAACAGTTGGCAAGAGCAAAGTTAGACTCGCCGGGACAACAAACGGCGACCA